ATTTTGTGATATTTTGGAATTTATTCAAATTTAATTGGATTATATTCTAAAATATCACAAAATTCACGTGATAAACTTGAATTATTAAAACTGGTTCCAACCTCTATGCCTGACTGTAATATAAAAGAAACAATAATTAAACAAATTTTGAAATTAAAATTAAACAAATTAAATATAAATTTTTTTTATAAATAAAAATTTAAATACTCATTAGTGGTATTAAGATTGGTGATCGTTAAAAATGAAATATACCTTTATTTTAATTTTATTTTTACTACCACTTCGAATATCTGTTGCAAATAGTGATCCTATAGTTGCAATCAGACTTCCAAAATTATATATCTGAGATTTTAAAACTGGAGATTACAGATTAATTCTTAATAAAAATGATCAAATTACAAATAATTATAAGGGCAGTATTTTTGTACGCTATGGAAATACATACGAAGCAATGCATAAAGCTAAAGGTGCAAATATAAAAGCCCCAAAAACTGTTGCTACTAGAAGTTCAAAAAGAAGAGATCATGCAAAAATAATTGCAAAATTTATTAATTAGTTTTTTATTTAAATATATTTATTTTGTTTTGTTGTTTTTTTTAAAAAACATCAATTTTTTTTTAAGTATATATTATTTGTTTTATATATTTTTTTTTAAAAAAAAATTTTATTAATAAAATTAATAAATTTTTATTTTTAAAGATTTAAAAATGTTGTTTACATATAATTATTATTATGTTCAACATACTACTTATTTAAATAATATTATATCTCTAAGACAAAAACTTCATAATGCAAAAACAGTTAAAGAGCGAGCAAAATTGAAAAAACAAATTAAAAATAATAAAATTCAACTAGAAAAACTTAAAAAACAAAAACAAGAATTTTTTAAAAAAATTAAAAAATTAAAAAAAGAACTAACAGGTAATTATTTAATTATTTAATTGTTATTTTATAATTTTATTAATATTTATTTAATTGTTATTTTATAATTTTATTAATATTTATTTAATAGCCGAAAAAAAGAAGTATCAAGAAGCGAAAAAAATTACTAATGCTGAAAAGAAAAAAAATAAAATATTAAAAGAACAAAATGTTGAATTAAAAAAAGAAAAAGAAAAATGGAAAACAATGTTTAATAATTTAAAAATAGAAAATGATAAAGATAAAGAAAAAATTAAAGAATTACAAAAAATACTTGCAACAAAAGAAATAGAAATAAAAGGTTTGAAAAAAGATAAAGAAAGATATAAACTAGAAGCAAAAACTTGAAAAAAACTATATGATAAAGCTAAAGATAAAAAAGAAAGATATGAAACTTTATATAATGCATGTATTACTAATCATAGCGATTATGATCAAATTAAAAAAGAATTAGAAAAAATTACTAAAGAACGTGATGATTATAAAAGAGATTTAAGAAAAAGTAAAGAAGAAAAAAAAAAAATTAATCTTAAAATTCAAAAAAATGTTCTTACAATTATTATTTTAGTAAAAAAATTTTCTTCATATTTATTGAGACAAATAATTATATAATTTGAAAAATTAGCAGAATCTGGTGATCAAAAAATGTATAATATGGGATCTTTGCTAGGAAAATTGCCCTCCTACATTTTCCAATCGGGCTAATTCAACCTATTTTAAACCAACATACTGGCTCTTTTTACATGTAAACCATATTTTACACTTATTGATTCAATAGCTTATCGAATGAATATTTGAATCAATAGAGGCAAAAATAATTTACATACAAATAGGTACTGATATATTGGTTTGAATTTGTCCGAATTAGCCTGATCGAAAAATGTCGAAGAGTGATTTTTCTAGCAAAGATCCCATATGATTATTGAAAATATAAATGAATTAGATGTAGCAGCATAAATTTCATTTATTTTTATTTATTTTATTTTATTTTTATTTTTTATTTTTTTTATTTTTTTATTTTTATTTATTTTTATTTTATTTTTTTTTATAAATAAAAAAAAGAAAATAACTACATTTACCTGGAGATAAAATCACCACCCTTATGTTTTTAGGGTTAGAGTGAAATTTTGACAAAACTTAGGGTTAGACATTAGGACCCCAATTTTAGTTGGCATAAGGTTTTTGGGGGTTCTGAACATTTTTACTTAGTACCCCTGAGAGGTGTTAGCTAGTACGTTTTTGAGATATAGCACCCCGGTGAATTTTACCTCCGGTGAAAATTAGCAATTCTCTAAAAAAAATATATAAATACTGTTTCTTTTTTTTTTAAAAAAATAAATGTCGAATTTTCTTTTGTATATCACCTATTTGAATTTTAATATTTGCTGCTTTTTAATAATAATCTCGTTTTGTATACTTTTTTATAAATCTAATGAATTAATTGAAATACTTTTGACTTTAAACCAACTTTTGACATTTGTAATAACAAATATTAAACTTATAATCTTAGAACTTATATGCTTATTGGATAATTAAAACTGGTGCCAAAAAAGAAACAACCACCAGCCAAAAAAAAAAC